CTGCCTGCCCCTGAACGCAGGGAACCGGCCGACTTGCGTTCCAGAGGCCAAACGCTCTGGAACACAGACGTTGTGGTGTGAACCAGCCCTAAATAGCATTTTCTATACTGTTGTAAAAAGTGAAGAGCATATCCGATTTATTCGTGCAGTTTAATATTTTGAGCATGCTCAATACAATGCTCATGGAGAGAGAGTGTCTTATATAGCAACGTCAGGACCTACCTTTCAGGATCTCCGATCTGTTGCCCTGTGTCCTTCAATGAACGGGAGAGAAACACACTTTTTTTCAGCAGGTAATGCTCATTTTGTACAAGTGATCTGAGCGGCTGTACAGCTCACTTGTAGCAGTCTGCCTAGATGCTGCTCTGGGGGACCCGGGACCACAGAAAATGCATTCAGGATGGAGAGCAGGAGCAGACTGGGGAACATCCATTCTCTGATTTGCCCTGCGATTAATGAGGCAGGAAGCACAGTAATCACAGCACTTCCTGCTCACAGCTGTCACAAAGCTGGGTGTACATAAACGATGATTGCGCCACACATTAGGTATCACCGCAAACATCGGAGTGAGAGCAATAATTAGAGGGCCATAATTCGCTGTTAACTCTAAACTGATGATCGATAAAAGCTTTTCAAGCGTTGCCTACGGACAATTTTGAGAACCATAGTTTTCAGAAATTGAATGGACACTCGCAATTTTAACACTTGACATGTTTGTTTGTTGTTATCTATTGGATGTAACCCCATCTTTTAAATTTTTCACACAAAAAAGGGGGTATTAAAAATTAGGTTTGCACTAAAATAATTTAAGTGTTTTTTTCTAAACATATCGATTTGCCAAACATTTGTACAAATCGCTACCATATTATTATTCTACAGGGCCTCTGATTTCAGGAAATATATACTTGTTTGGGAGATGTTTTTCATCCAAAAATCTAGATTGTAGTATGTATGTACTCCGATACTAAGGTGGTCAACTGCCAACTAAACTCAAAATATTTATTTCAAATTATTTTTCACAAGTTGAACAACATATACGGGCTTATTCTTTACCTGTGAGACCCCAGTGTATATCCCCTCTCAAAAGTCCCATTTACAAAGCCATGCAATGTTGCCACAAAGGGATCATATATCACAGAATAAAGGAATAACTGAGCAATCCTGTATCAAAAATATAACACTATCATGGTGGCCTTGTGGGCAACACAGTGACACAGGAAAAAATCTCACTGATGGATGGAGTTAGCCTTCGTGCCCAGTTAGTAAAGGTTTGCCGTTTAACAGAACATAAAACACATATAAAGCTAAAGCAAGAAAGAAAACATACTGTGGTGTTGAGAATGCAGTGCTGATCTTGTCTGTTTTCGCAGGAACAGTTGTCAATTTAGTTAAACTGTCTTGTGTAGTAAGTGAACAAGAGGTTTTATCAGATGTTGGCACATGGGGAGGCGGGTTCATCTGCTGTAACACTGGATTTTCCTGAAAGGAACAAATACCACATTATGATTTACTAGGACTACTTTATAAAGAGATATATTAAGTGAAGAACACTAAAATAAATGATGCAAACCTGTGGGTGAAGTTCATCTTTATTCAATCCTCCGGGATCTTTTACATTGGCCTTAGGGATGGGGTCCGTATTCTGTGGTCCTAAAGGCTTTTGCTCATTAACTGCAGGACAAGGAATACTGTTAAGACTAAGCAGTACTGGGGGGAGGCAAGGTATGTCAAAGCAAGTGATGGTCATTACACTGGTTGGGCTGACTGAACAACTCATTTCTCCTGAAAGCACACCAAAAACAAAAAAGGTAGAAAAGCGATTAAGCTAGCAGGCTACAGCACAACCACTGTCACTCCTTTAAATTTTATTGCGGTGAAAGTTTAATTAAAATGGTAAAAACAGTCATAAAGTTACCGAACAGCTTTAGCCAAGGCTCCTTTTTCAGGGATTGCAGCCTACCATTATATGCACCCTGATAGAGCTGCTAGTTTGGGGGCAATAACATCACATTGCATGTGTGTGATGCAGAAGAGATGCGTACAAAACCACCCTCAGGAGCCAAAAGATAGACTTCAGTGCAGAGAGCACAGGTAGGCAAGATTTGACCCAGTGTAATAGACTTTCTAAATTAAAATAAAGCTTTCAATTTGATCCACCTTCAATATGTAGGTTGCGCTTTACACGCACTGTTTTTCACATACCTTTAACAGTCATGCTGGAAAAGCAGGACATCCTTCCCAGATTAGGAGGCCCAGTGTGGCTATTTGGCACAGTGTACATTGAGCTTCTGATAATCTACATTGTCAAAGAAAAAATAAGGTGCCAATAATGAGCAGCAAACAATAATATTCAGTAAAACTTGTCTACACAAAATACAAGGATACGCCCACACATGCACTCTTCACTACGTAAAACATATTTCAAGTAATTATAGCAATCCGGTCTCTCTGCACCAACCCAAATTGTTGAAATCCTACAATTTTTTTCCGTTTTAACTTTTTAAAGGCCAGCATAACACCTTTGTGGTGTGGCAGTGCAATATAAGGCACCATGTATCCGTTAGTGCCTTGTAGTGATATTCATTTTTGATGCAGTGCATTTGCATATGCATGGTAATGCCCTGCCATGTGCTGTTGTGCACTGCATTGACATTCAAGGGTCAGGAGCTGTTCGGGGTGCACCAAGACATGTTGAAAGCTGAATCAAAGACAATGGCCTGCCTTAACCCCTTCATGACTGAGGCCTTTTTTTCATTTTTTGTACCCATGTTATATTCCACATTTTAGGCCTGAAAATTACTTAAAACCCCCCAACATTATATATTTTCTGAATGCCAAGACCCTATAGAATAAAATGGTGGTAGTTGCAAATTTTTATGTTGCGCAATATTAGCGCAACTCCTTATTAAACCCCAATATTTAGTGAAAAATTTAATTAAATGCCCCAAAACACAACAAAATACCCATTTTTTTAATGAAATATAAAAGATGAGGTTACAACGAGTAAAACGATACCCAACATGCCCAGGTTACAAATTGCGTGCATCCGTAAAACAGCGAAAAACCCCAGTACCCCAAAAAGTCCATAGAAGACGCTTTAAAAGCCCCCACAGGTCATCAATTTAGAGATACCCCAAAATACTGGCCCTAGAATTATTGCTCTCACTCCGGCGTGCGCGGCGATACCCAACATGTGTAGCGCGTTCGTCGTTTTCATACGTAGGCGCACCCGACGCGTGTTTACGTGGCGACGCGCGTGCTCGCGGGGACGGGGTACTTTTAAATTTTTTTTTTTATTATTATTAGATTTATTTTATTTCATTTTAATTTTAAAAACTGTTTTTTTTTTTTTTTTTACTTTACTTTGACTGCTATCACATGGGGGGGCTTGCAAGCCCCCCCATGTGATAGCAGATGGTGGTGACAGGTACTCTTTAAGGTGATGCTGGGGGTCCAAAAGACCCCCAGTGTCACCTTTACACTGGAAATAAGCTATTGAAGTGCAGATCGCACTTCAATAGCTTATAGCTGGGCTCCAGGAGGAGGGGCAACGGAGCCCGGGAAGCACGGCGGGGGTGTCCGGCGGGGGGGGGGCCCCTTCTTCGGGACACAGAAGCGATCTGGCGACAGGTAAGTCGCCAGGATCGCTTCTGTTGTAAAGCCGACAGTTGGCTCTACAAGTTTAAACAGAGTCCAGGTGGCAAAAGTCACCGGGAGTCTGTTTAAACAGCCCCAATGCTGGCGACGTACACTGTACGTCGTCAGTCACGAAGGGGTTAATGCAACACACTTTAATATGCGTCTGGCAATGCACCACAAATGTCTGACGGGGGCCTATAGAAGATTGTACCAAGGAAGTATACTGGTTGTTACCATTCACATCACTTACTAAAGTTTATTCAGATCCCTGGTCATACTGGTCCAACAGCTTCATGAATATTAAGAACTCTAAAATCGAGTCTATTATTTTCAGAAGGAGGGGGTCAGCAATGACAGCCTCCATGTTTTTATCAGTAAAAGTTGTTTTTTTAACACATACAGTGACATAATAACATGCACCCTGAAGCTACTGAGATGTGCCATAGGTGCTGATCAAGTGTACAGAATGTAACTGGCTCCTAATACCACCAAATGTGCCACACTACAGTCACATGAGTACAGTGGTACCTCAGTTCACAAACTTAATTCGTTCCACGATTCTGGTCACAAAACGAATCAAGCTGTGATCAGACCGCAATCTCGACTAGAGGAAGCCATGACCATGTGTCAGAGCAGGGAAGATGGCTGCGGTTGTGTTTGTCACCCGATGCGGAGTTCGCAAACTGAAGCAAAATCTTGAACTTCCGGTTTGCTCGCGAACAGAAGCGTTTGTGAACCGAAGTACCACTGTATATTCAGCTGTAAGGATAGTAAGCCGTAAAATGTTTAACATGGGCTTAGTAGGTCTTTAATAAATCAAACTTTTAAGCCATTCACACATTTTATAAAAATTGAAAAATATTGGCAACTTGAACTCCAGGCATTTAAAACGTTAACCCTTCCAGTGGGGCTACCCAGGCACTGTAAGTGTTAACTGCTCGTATTTCCCTAGGGGCTGAAATAAAGAAGATATTCTCACCCGATCCTTGGTCCTGCAGCGGTGAGTGCCCACCTTTCTTCCCCCCTCTGCTCTGGCATGTCCCTCAGTATCCTTACATCTAACACAAGTGAATGTACTGTATTACACATGATGAGGTCAGCGGGGCTTAGACTGCCAGAGCACAGAGAGAAGAGGCTGCAGGGACTGGTGTAACAGCCAGACAGAATCAAGTATCAGGTAAGTATATTTCCTTCATTTAAGCCCCTTAAGAAAAAGGAGCAGTTAAGGACTGCAGTGAAGGGATTTCCCCTTTTAACCTTTTGCTATCCTAGAGTTCTTCTTTTCTTATTAAAAAGCAAAAGGGGGGAAAGCGGCCTAAATAGTAGTAGGTAAAACAGGTAACTACTGAAATGCCATACTAGCTTGCAATGCAAAAACCCCCATACCAAGAAAGCATCTCATGGCCCTCAGTTTGAAATATGGTCCTTCCTTTGGAACACTCTCTCAATAAAGAGAATCTTCTGGAGGGTGTTGCTGCTCCAGTTTCACTTTCCTGTTAGTGAAAACATGGAGACAGCACAAGCCCATAAAAACCACATTAAAAAGCTCTGTTTCAGACACATAATTTAAAGGGGTATTTCCACTTTTGCAGACAACTTTTGAGAAACCCCTCCAGATGTTTCTTAAATGTTCCCATTCACATGGCATACCTAAAAATAGCATTCAAAAAAAAAAAGGGGGGGGGGCTGTGGGGTGATGGATTGCTTACTTTTTTAGGGGTTCCTATGTAGCAGGATTATACACTGGACATTATATGCATCTTCTAGTTGTTAGAATAGATGCATGTGAGAGAAGGGATTGACTAATTGACAGGTTTTTTTTTTTTTCTTTTTTAATGTTTGTTTAGGTTCTGCAGTGTGATTGGGGACATGTAAATGTAAAGGTGTTATTTTAATTTGGTTGCAAACGTGGAAAAACAAAATCCTAAAAAAAACACATTGGCAGTCCATAGCTACAAACATCTTACCGTGTTCTTACTGCTGAGTGGATGGGCGATCGAGGCTGCTCTTATGGGTACCCTTTGTGCCAAGCTAACTTTGCCGACAGGGGCAGTGGACACACCGATATTCGACAAGATGCTAGCCAGGGCAACTGGATCGGCTTTAAAGTCCACCTCAGAACCACCTAAGAAAGCACGAACACACATGTTTTTTATCGGTGAAGATTTTAGATCCATTAATATATCCTATTAAAATATTTGTTAAAATTCTCATATAAAGCTAAACTATGTTTAGGGGAAAAAAGGTTTTTGCCTCTCCTAGCGCTAAATGGTTGCAGTCAACAATCCTCCCTCAGACTCAACTCTTCACACTCTCGGGGGCTGCTCATCCATGGGATCAGGGAATTCTCCCTTTTAACAGACAGCATGTTACACGTGCTGAAATTCTAATCTTGTACATATACCCATTTTTATTTAAAGGTTGTGGGGTTTGTTTTTTTTTACACATGGAGGCAGCACTCTTTTTTATCTATGTTTGTGTACGTATATTTCAAAAGTACGTTTTCAGTACTTTAAAGCCCAATCGAATTTGCAGTTTAAAATCGGCTTAATATGAATCAACACAAAAAGGTGTGCAAAGCATTTGTTCTCTTTAGAAAGCAGCCACATCCTGAGGGGAAAAGCCTGTCTCTGCCAGCATGATGCAGAGTAGAACTCTTATGCTCTGTGTGAAAGCAGTGGTCTCCATGCAGATCTGACATGCCCCCTGCTAAGTGAGACTTGGAGTTCTCCAATCATCAGGGTGCATTAGCTTTGCTAGTTGCAGAGCTATAGCTCAGACTCAGCAGAGGGCATGTTGAACCTTTGCATAGAGACCATATCTTCCATACAGAAAACAAGGGTCCTCTGCAAAATGCTGGCAGGGGACAGGCCTTTCTACTACACTGGTGGTGGCTGTTTTAGAAAGAAAATTAAACCAGAAGAAGACATTAAAAACATTGTTTTGATGCATCTGAAATGTGTGCGATTTAAACTGGAGGTTCAGATGAGCTTTAAATCTACAGGTTTCATTAAAATAATAAAATCACAAAGATCCTTTTGTGGGACTTGTCCTTACAGGAAGGCACTGCTCTGCCACATCTTCCACTTGCTCAGCTGCATTGTCACACACACAAACACTTGTAAAATAAATTGTGGCTGTGCCCATCTCCACCACTGCAATAGCAATACAGACCTAGTAACGTAAGATGTAAAGAACAAGCTGGAGTGATTTAAACCTGCCCAATCATGACACCCTGAAGTGGAACACACAGACTGGAGGCACTAGTTCTATTTTGCCTTCCGTTAGCATTTTTCATTATATACCCTGTTTTAGAGAGTATCTGTGCTTCTCTATACAATACAGGCATATTATGGCTGATGGGAGGGGCTGGCAGGGTGCTGTGCATAGCTTTCTGAAAACATCACCCTCCCCTGCCTCAGTACTCTTGATAAGAGCCCTCATGCAAGCAAGCTGGCTCAAGGAGGAGTCATGCAAACATCAAAATGCCTTGATAAGTCAATGTCAGTCTTGAGGACTATGTGTTCCTGGACAGACCGTCGGTACCCACCCAGCTGCCTTACAGCTGGGGTCCACCTTAGAGCGTGTGGGAGAGAGCCAGAGCCAGCCGTGCCCACCTTTTCCCAGTCTGAAGCTGCAGGGAGCGCTGGAGGAGCAGAGTGGGGTTTAGCAACTGACAGTCACTGTTCCCTGCTGCAAGCAAACCAAGAGCAGACTGATCAGTGGTCACGTGCTCTGTCAGCTCTTTAGCTATTACACCCCATTACACTGAGCGACATGGATACTGCACGTTTTTCCACGCGATTTCGGGCCGAGCGGCTTTGAGCTACATTGCGTGATATTGAGCGACATTGCACATTTTATCGCACTACATAGTGCGTTTTTTGGACGGGACTTCGTCGCTGCTACATTGGGCTGTAACCATTAACTCCAAGGTTACTAAAAATGTCATAAATGAAAACACTAAAGTCATGAGCATCACAAAGACAGACTAGTGACATTTCCTACATACCCATCACAACACTGGATTCCTTTTTGTTCTGGCCAACAACAACTTCTGATAGGGGTTCCCGACTTTTGCAACTTGCTGGAGAATTACAAGATGGTTGCCCACTGGACGATTCTCCAGAAACTTTTACACCGGCAATTTTTACTCGAGAGTGCTCTCTCCTCTGCGAAAAGTTGAAAGGTTGGGGGCGAGTGCAAGATTTTTTGCTTACAGCTTTTCCCTGTGTAAACACATAGGCATAAGAGATAACATAACAAAAAAGTGAATCCAGCATTTAAAGTGCAAAATACTATTAGTATATATTTATTAGTCAATATACAAATGTACAGGATTACAAATTGTGACAAACCTTACTGTAACCATGCAATTCCCAGCTGTCAGTATATAAAACTGAGAAGCAACCCAATGACTTGAAAAAGAATGACAGTATTTTTGTGTCTCTTATTATTCAGCATCTCTCCGCTATCTAGTTGCTGACTTATATGAAAGACAAGGAAGGCATATAAATATAACTGCCACACACAGTCATCAAGAATATCGCAAACACACGAATAAACTACAAGTCACACACACGTTAGAATTGTAGACCGAATGGGAATTTTGGGGGCAATCTGCAAAATCCCAAAGCTAAATAGTAGTGATTAGACTGCCCTGTTAACTCTAAGGCTCCATTCACACTGAGCGACATGAAAATCGTGCGATTTTCCGCGACTTTTTCCTATTGGGCTGTATGCAATCAGGAGCAAAATCGCTCGAAATCCGCAGAAAAAAGGGTCATGTAGGAGCGACGAGCTACAAGTGATACTGAGCGGCGAGATGTGAACAGCTCCATTGAAATGGATTGGAGAAGCTACATAGAGCGATATCGCGTGGAAATATGAGCGATAAATCGCTAAGTGTGAATGGGGCCTAAAGCGGACAACCACAAATTAAATTCTGTGCTTTGCTCACGTAGACCGCCACAGACGCATACACTTGCCTTACTTTTACTCAGTTGGCCATCGGGAATGGAAGGAAAGTCCTGTGAAAGCTAGGAGTCCCAGCTTACACAGGGCTTTAGACTGACTCACCTAGTGTGACGTGTAGCGAGTCACATGCTCCTCTACTGCAGGAAATACTGAATATTTATTTTAGCCCCCAGAAAAAGGGAAAGTAGTGGATATAAAAATATACCAGTATGCTGGTAAATAACTACAAGACTGAGGCATTTTTTAAAAGCAGTAAATGTAATCATGCACTAAAAGTGAATAATTTACGGTCATTTAAAAATCATGCACTAGAAAGATTCACCTCCAGTGAATGTCAGACTCACTCCTTTATAAATAAACTACCAAGAGTCCTCCAATATGAAAAAAAATACCCAAACACAGTTTACTTCCATTTAGAAATAACAGCTTGCAGGAGACCTGCACTCTACCCACTTCTAGTCATTAAATACTCTCCATAACAGGCAAGTACACGAGGTTTTGCAAACCCACACACTACTTTCTCTAACAGTTAAAATGACAGGAGTTTAATCTTAAAAATGCATTCAAGTATCTTAACTCATTTTTTTGTGTATCACTCGGCTGAATATCCTCAAATCATCTCTGAATTGGTGCCGACACTGTCCTTCCTTCTGAAGGGGGGCTACTTTTGTTTTCCATGGTCCCTGTGTGGTTGTAAAGTAGCCAACCCTCCACGCTCACTCCTGTGATGGACTACAATCTCAATACAAATTAGTAAACTAAATGTGAGACTATAGCCCATCACAGGAGCGAGCTTGGAGCGGTGACTACTGTACAACACAGTGGATTTTTAAAGGAGAACTATGGGGTTAGGGCTTTTCCCCATAGTTCTCCTTAGGGTAACGGGAGGACACAAACTAGCGTCCTCCTATCACCCTAAGCTCTCCCATCACCCTAAGCTGTAGCTCGCGGTATACTGAGACGCCGCAGTATACGGAGACGCCGCAGCTAAAGCGGATCCCGACAATTATGTCTGAATCCGCCCAGCTGCGTGAGTGACAGCTGGCTGCCTATCTAGAGGCAGAGCCAGCTGTTCCCGCCCCCTCCGTTCCACCAGTCAGTGCTGGAGGATCGGAGCGGGGAGGGGGAATCCAGCCCCTCCCCTGTCACAGCGCTCTGCCGTGACAGGATCGAGAAGTGAGCGAACGCCGGTATGTGTTCGCTCACTTCCCGATCTACTGAGCCGATCTGTGACAGTCTCATTGTCGCAGGTCGGCTAGAACTACGAGGATGAGTGAAAAGCACTCACCTCATAGTTCTCATTTTTCTTCTAATTGAAGTGTCTGGTGTGCAGTGCCCCGACACAGTGCCAAACTCCTGATCCCAGTAGGTTTTTTTTTTTTGTTAGAACGTTATTGAAATGTCACAAGTGACATTTCATTCAGCTCTTCGGGCACAGTGGAGTGCAAGGCGGTTGCTGCGCTAAACAAAAATTACAGCATACCATATTTTTATTCAGCGCACACCAGCGTGTTCACATCACAACGCGATGGTGTGAACCAAGCCAGTCCGTGACAAAATGGCCAGCACAGCTCCAACGCATCTGGTGTGAAGCAGCCCCAAGACTCAGGCCACCGGAAAATTAAGTATACAGCATCTTGTTTTACAGGCTGGATTTGGACGAGTTAAGACCCCATAGTGACAGGGTCACTTTAAATAATATAGATAATTGGCAAGTGATTGAATACATTTCTTATATTTGCTCATAATATACCCTTTGAAAATGGGTCTGCCACGACTGGTGCATCTTCTGGAAATCCGGTGGTGCCCTGGCCTTAGAGAGAACTGGAAGCTTGCTTTGCTGTGGCCCATGTGGCACTGCATTTTGTGCTGTTGGCTTTTGCTGAAGACATGCAGAAGAAGTCATACAATTCTCTTTTCCTTTTATCTGGCAGTTCTTTTCAGCAACAGAGAGCTTCCTGACAACATCCACAGGAGCATCGTTGTATGACTGCATTGCCAACAAACAGCGTAGTTTCGGCTTATAGGCTGCAACAGCCTCAAGTCCTTTTCCATCAAATACAAATATAGAATAAACAAGACCTAAAAGAAAAGAAAAAAGAACATTTAAAATAATATTCCTCTGTATAGCTTTCATAACACAGACAGCAATAGAATATGGTTATCAATGGACATAAAACTATACAGGCATCTCTTACTGTATTGTAGACCCACAAAATAGTAATGAATGACAACAGTAAAATACCACAGAAACTACATACATATCACCATAACAAATTAAAGTGTATCTAAAAACAAAATAAATAAATTGCAGCTTATTAGACCTCAGATGTGGCAGCTGCATTCGTTTTTTTCTTCATTCTCACCTGGTAATCCTGCAAACAACACACTTCATTTATATATTACAGGTATTTATATAGCGCTAACAATTCACGCAGCGCATTCACATCAGTTCCTGCACTCAAGGAGTTTACATTCTAAGGTCCTTAGGTCACATCCATAAAGGGACAATTTAGACATGAGTCAATTAACCTACCAGCATGTCTTTGGAGTGTGAGAGGAAACCCACACAAGTACAGGGAGAACATGTTCTAGGGTGGCTATGCTCGCTAAATCCTTTGTCTCTATAGGGAAAGCCATGGTTGTAACCCTAGGACAGAACTAGAAGCAGATCTTCCTTATGTCATCCCATTACATGGGGGTAGGGGAAATGAGTAGTTTACAGAAGACAGCATTGTCTGATACATTAAAGAAGAACTCTTCCAGTGGAGATATGCCCACACTGAAAGGGTTAAGTGCTTATTTTTGTCTAGGTTAAAGAAAAAAAAAAAAAGGGTATACTCACCTGATACTCTGAGCCAGGTTGTTCTTACACCCGTCTCCCCCTCCTCTGCAGTGGTCTAAAGTCCCATAAATTATTACATCAATACACTGTGTATAGATGTGAGGAAGATTCCAACGCTGCAATTGTGACAGCTGGCGGCTCAGAGCTTCAGACAGGTAGAACTTTGTTATTTTGCCACCGAGACAAAAACGAGCACTTAACCCTTGCAGTGCATGGTATCCCACTGCAGGGGTTAAGAAAGTTTTCCAGGAGTTCTTCTTTAAATTCGCAGGAAGTCAGGAAAGATCAACAGGTAATTTCTGCACTCGCTGAAAACGTTCATAGCCTAAAAAATGAAAAGTTGCTACCATATCGAAGGACAGGTAAGCCGCAGTTGATCAAATCTTTGTTCTTGGGTTTAGATATCCTTTAAGGCCTGCATCAACAGGCTTTAGGCTAGGTTCCCACCTAGGCGATTTGTCACGCAGAACACAAATTCGCATTGAAGTCAATGGAGGCTTTTCACACCAGTGCGGTTTGTTGTGCGGACGAAAATCGCCTGTCGCGCAAAACAGTGCAGGGTGGTGGTCGTGCGGTTTGGGTCTCATAGACATCTCTACACATAGAAAACCATTCAGTTTTCAAAGAACAGTAGCGAAAACCACTCGCCAGCTCCGTTGCCTAGGTGTGAACCTAACTTTGAACTTTTTCAATCATCGATTAATCGGCTTCCGGTTAGTTGACCCTGCGCGCCGCACCTCCATCTCGCCGCTGCCAGACCCGCCCACATCCACAATCGGCGCGGTGTAAATGTAAAGAATTGTAAAATGATGTCCATTTAATGCATACCGAGCACTTTACTGACATTATAGCCACACTGCAACAAAAATCTTCAAAATACCTTTTGTGGCAGTTGTTTTTGCAGTCGCATGACCACTCAGGCTTTGTTCTTCTCCATTGCAGCAGAGTCTGCAGGCATCTACTTCAGGGCACCTCCAAGTCACTTCTTCCCCCACTCCCAAATTTAAAGTGACATACAGGTTAATTTTTTTCTTCCCCCACCCAATGTTGGTGTAAGGACTTACCTTAAATGAGGTCTCTTAATCTGATCTTCTTTAGTGTAGTTTTCAGCTGTCCCTCCAGCGCTGGTGCGGGTCTCCGATCCAGCGCCGACTCCTCTGTCCTCCTCTTCTCTGATGTCCCACGGTGTCTGTTTGGGTGCACCCTGCTCCATAGACTTACCTTGTGTCTCTCCTCATCTCCCGGCCGAACATCTGAACTGCGCATGCACCCGCCCCAAGATCCTTTGCAGCTGCCCGAGACTCTTCAGATGTTCTGACGGGAGCGCACAGTGAAGACACAGGTAAGTTGAACCTGTTTGAAAAGGTTTTTTGAAGTTTTTGCATATATCTACTGCTGGCTAGCAGTAGATATATGCAAAAACATGCTGAGGGTTTAATAACCCTTTAAGTGTACAAAGCCCTGTGGTGTCAGCACCCCCTATAGGCTAAAAACACCTGTAAACCAACATGCCCACAATGAGGGATGAGGGTGACAACTCTCCTGGAATTTCAGCAGAAAACTTGCAGAGTTGTCAGCCTTCTCCTGAAAATGACCTACGATACCAACAGCCAATCAGAAGCTGGAACCCTCGCCCATGTGCATACTTACCTCTCCACAGTGGTGGCAACTCACAGTGTTCATATTCTCACGCAAGTAATTTCCTTTGGCACCGCCTTCACCTGCACTGTAATCCCCATAGGCTTCAATAGAGCTGCACTGCTTACATCTCTTCTGTAGAAGAATTGCTCCATTTAGGACTATGGAGAGATAATGGGCAGGGGCAGGAGGCACTACAGAATTTTGCACTCAGGATATAAAC